CCCCAAAACCCCAAAACCCCAAAACCCCGACTGATAGAGATAAATAAAATCAACCAAATATTTTAATGATATTGTTTTCATTCTAGTTTGTAATTTTATCTCGAGGCAAATTCATATAACTTTGTCGGACAATCTGTCATAATTCCATCAATCTCTGGAAAGAAGTCAAGAGCCTCAATAAACTCTTGCTCTTCATTTAAAACCCACACGACTACTATCACACCTCTTTTTCTCAAATGTCTGTAAAGATTTTTAGAGTTTCTTAGGAGCACTCCTAGAATTACAATAGCTAATCTCATCAGACAGCCACCTTTTCTTTTCTTGACCATTTAAGCAAATAGTTTCTCCTTTTCAGAATTGAATATTGGGACCATAAATGCATCAGAGGGAAGTGGATATAAGAATAGTAATCCCAAGTAATACATCAGGTACACCATCATAGTTTGACCTCCTGAAAAGAATTATGGGGTATTTGGATTCAATCTACCAATTTTATTGTGTTCTTTTGGAACCATAGATCCCCATATAGTAAGATGCTCTCTTTTGAATTCTTTGATAAGATCATTTACCTTATGCTTCATTTCATCATTCTTATCTTTTAAATCAATGCTGATGAGTTTATAGTTTGCAATTTCAAAAAGTTATCTTAGAGTAGTGAACTTGCCATCTTCCTCTGGTAAAAGTACGTATTCACCCTCCGAGAAGTGTAAGGGTATTCTTCTCTGCATAGGTGGTAGCTCATCATAGTTAAATTCATTGACATTCTTCTTTATTCCACATAATCTTAAGATATCATTGTCGTGAGCTACTACTACTACCCCGTCTTTAGTCATTTAAACATCACATTCTAAGAGATCCATACCGTTTTCAATCTATAAATATATCAGAATCAATCCATTATGAAAAATAAAGTGTTACAGCATTTTTAAATGCAGTTAGAGTATTTTCAACTCTTTCAAAAGATCCACCCCTGTGAGCAGAGAGTATAAGCCAAGGCGATCCAGAATGATTTTTTTACTTAATACTGTAGGTGTCTAGTCTTCTTTTTTTCTTACAGCAAGTAAACATTCTCATAAGAATCGATTGAGAGAAGATGACCCAACCTATAAAGTAGAAGAATAGCATTTTAAATAGAATTATTAATTAAATCTTTTAATTACGTAATTATTTTTTCTTAAACTGATATTTTCATCTTGTGGGGTTTTGGGGTTTTGGGGTTTTGGGG